TCAAGCCTGCTCGGAGAGAGGCCGAACCTACCGCAGCGGAGATTGCCCCGTGGGGCCCTTCCCCCTGCGATCGAAGCCTCCTTCCCCCCCCCGCCCCGTCCGTCCCCTGCGGGAGCAGCGCGCGCCTCCCCCCCTGGAAACCTGCCGGCCGCGGGGACAGGCGCACTCTGGCCTCGCCCTCCGTCTCATACACGCAGGATGCCGGGCAGAACTGCCACCGCTAACTTGCTGTAGATATCCCCTTCCTCAAACACTGCTTACTCTGTATAGCACGGCAACATGCCCGGCTCATTTATTGCGCAGATGCTGCCCTTAATAGCAGCACATTAGCCCAAACCACAGCACGGGGCTGTCTGCGGTGCGCATTGCTAAAGCAGTGCCTGAAGTGACCCACTTTGGCTACATCTAGACTTCAAGCCTCTTTCGAGAGAAGGTACTTTTGGAAAGCCTCTTTCCAAAAAGAGTATCTAGACTGTAACCAGTGATAGAAATGTAGCTGTGTTAGTCTGGTGTAGCTGAAACAAAATACAGGACTATGTAGCACTTTAAAGACTAACAAGATGGTTTATTAGATGATGAGATTTCGTGGGCCAGACCCACTTCCTCAGATCAAATAGTGGAAGAAAATAGTAGACAGTATTTGATCTGAGGAAGTGGGTCTGGCCCATGAAAGCTCATCATCTAATAAACCATCTTGTTAGTCTTTAAAGTGCTACATAGTCCTGTATTTTGTTTAGACTGTAACCAGTACTTTTGAAAAAGCAAGCCATTTTTTTGAAAGAGAGCACCCAGGCAGTCTGGATGCTCTCTTTCAAAAAAGCAGTTTGCATTACAGAGGCTACGTCTAGACTGCAAGCCTCTTTCAAAAGAGGCTTTTTCGAAAGATACTTTCGAAAAAGTCTCTTTAGAAAAGGTGCGTCTAGACTGCAACCAGTACTTTCGAAAAAGCAAGCTGTTTTTTTGAAAGAGTACCCAGACAGTCTGGATGCTCTCTTTCGAAAAAGCACAGTTTGCATTACATAGCGCCTTTTTTTTTGAAAGAGCACTTTCGAAAAAAGGCGTTATTCCTCGTGATATGAGGAGTACCGCCGTCGAAAGAAAAGCCGTGTACTTTCGATTTAATTTCGAAAAAACCCTGCAGTCTAGACACAGCCATAGTGCCTTTTTTCAAAAGAGCACTTTCGAAAAAAGACATTCTTCCTCGTAAAACGAGGTTTTCTGCGGTCGAAAAAGCTGCCGTGTACTTTCAATTTACTTTCGAAAGAACGTGGCAGCAGTCTAGATGTAGGAGAAGTTTTTTTGAAAAAAGGCCAGGTTTTTTTATGGAAAAAAAAATGTAGTCTAGACTCACCCTTCTAGAGCAGTCATATGTCTTCTGTTGACACCGGCCAAACACGTTCTGAATTGCCTGTCCAGTGCAACACGTGGTTGCTGGCCCGCAGTGGCTGGGCAATGATTGTCCTTTTGATGCCCTCCTTTCCACTGCCTGAATTTTTAGTGTCATGGCTGCTGGGAAATATAATCTGCTTCTGTGTCCCTGTTTAAGGTTTTGTTTTTTCATGTGTCGCACTTGAATGCTAAAATAATGAACCACATAGAAAAGAACGTGAAGAAATAAATAGAAATTGTTCGTAACTACAGATGACATTCTGGCTTCTATAATAGTTGGGTTTATGATCTACAAAAGTAATCTTTTAAGGGTTGCATGACCTAGGCCTTAAAAGTAATCTTTTAAGGGTTGCATAACTACATCCCTTATGCATCTCTACGCTATGCTTATGTAGTTAACAGTGCATTCTCAACAGTAATTATGGTTGTATTGATTATGCTGTCAATGTGGACATTGTGAGATGGCTCCTGAAAGCCAATTGACATAAGTAACACAGCAGCTACACTGACACTCAGTTGGGTTAACCACATTGGCCTTGATTCTGTGTTATTTGTGGTGTTGTGTTCCCTCTAATTTTTCCCATGTGGAATTAATTTTATGTGCACAAATATGGAGGTGAGGTGTAACATTCAGAGTGTGGGAAGAGGCAGAGTGTTGAGGTGTGGGGGCTTTGGGGTGGGACCACGAATGAAAGGTTTGGGGTGCAGGCTAGGGATGTGAACAAATAGTCGACTATCCAATAAGCAGGAGCTTATCAGATAGCACTATCAACTTCTTAATTACACACATACACCCTCCCACCCCCATTGCCACTCTGTGCTCTTAAAGGGAAAGAAGAGCCAGCGCGCAAAGATGCTGGCTCAGTCTCTGGTCTCCTGCCTGGTCTCAAGATAACTCTCCCCCGCACTGCCACTCTGCATTTTGAAAGGGACAGAGAAGTGGCAGCTGGTCCCAAGGGTGTCTCAGCATAAGCGCCCCCTACCCCTGCCAGTCTGCATTTTTAAAGGCCCTGAACACTGGCGCCTCATCCTTTGGATCTCAGCACAAACCCTCCCCACCCCCATTCTCCCATTGCCGTACTGAACTCTTAAAGTGAGAGAGACATGCTGGATGAGCTGCTGCTGCTTGGTCCCTTTGAAAATAAAGAATGGCAATGGGATGGGGGGCTTGTGCTGAGACACCTAGAATCATAGAGCTGGAAAAGACCTCAGAAGGTCACAAAGTCCAGCCATCTACTCTAGGCAAGACCAATCCCAACTAAATCAACCCAGCCAGGGCTTTGTCGAGCCGAGACTTAAACACCTCTAGGGATGGAGACTGCACTACTCTTGGTAACCCATTCCAGTGCTTCACCACTCTCCTAGTGAAATAGTTTTTCCTAATATCCAACCTGGACCTCTCCCACCGCAGCTTGAGACCATTGCTCCTTGTTCTGCCATTCGTCACCTCTGAGAACAGCCTTTCTCCATCCTCTTTGGAAGCTCCCTTCAGGAAGTTGAAGGCTGCTATCAAATCCCCCCTCAGTCTTCACTTCTGCAGACTAAACAGACCCAGCTCCCTCAGCCGCTCCTCATAGGTCATATGCTCCAGCCCCCTAATCATTTTGGTTGCCCTCCGCTGGACCCTCTCCAATGCGTCCTCATCCTTTTTGTAGTGGGGGGCCAAGAACTGGACACAGTACTCCAGATGTAGCCTCACCAGAGTCGAATAAAGGGGAATGATAACATCTCTGGATCTGCTGGCAATGCTCCTTTTAATGCAACCTAATATGCTATTATCCTTCTTGGCTACAAGGGCACACTGTTGACTCATATCCAGCTTCTCATCCACTGTAACCCCCAGGTCCTTTTCTGCATCTGTGGGAGCAGCTGCCGTTACTCTGTACCTTTCAGAATGCAAAGTGCTAGCGCGGGGGAGGGTCGTTGAGAGACCCTGCGGGGGACCAGAGACTGAGCCAGAGTCTTTGCATGCTGGCTCCTTTCTGTCCCTTTAAGAGTGCAGCAGCAATGGGGGAATTGTGGGGGCTTGTGCTGAGAACCGGAAGTCAGCCTTTCCCTAATGATTAGTCAATGGAAATTCCATCGACTACTCCACTAGCAAAATAATCGCTACTTAGCATCCCTAGTGCAGGCTGTCCTAGGCCTACCGCGGGGATGGAGGATTCCTCTGTGAACTTGCTCTCTCTGCAATACCACCTGAGCTGTGGCCAATGCAGGTCCAAGTTTGAATTGGGTTGGAGCCTGGGTAGGGGGTACTTGACTCTAGCTGAGGCTGTGCTGGGTTGGGATCAGAGGAGAGGCATGATACACCCAGGACTGGAAGAGAGGCATCTCTTCTTGTCCCAGCCTTCAGTATTTGTGTGGAGCTTATTAGACTGTTGTGTTGGGCACTTAGCTCAGAGAGAACTTAGTTGTGGAGATAGCGTTATTAAGTCAGTACAGTGGGGCACTTATTTTGGCAGAAGTGAAATTTAGGTACAAACATTTTGATATTGAGGTCAAAGCAAGGCATGCTTCTTCCCCAGCGCTTTCTGCCCGCAGTACCACATGGGCTTGGTGGAAGAGGCACCTCTCTTTGCTGGCACCTCTCTCCCAGCCAAGGCAAGTTCCTGTTTGGATGTCAGCCTAACTGTAGTATGGGCTAGGCCAGTGGTCTCCAACCTTTTTACACTCAAGATCACTTTTTAAATGACAGACCAAGCCAAGATCTATCGCCCTGCCCCTTCCTTGAAGCCCCGCCCTCTCTATGCTCCTTTCCATTACTTGCTATCCCCAATCCTTATACTGCTACTTTAAAAAAAAATTCCCACCATTCCTTGCAGCTACTCACCTGTGCTGTTGCTCAGTGAGTAGCTGCTCCTCAAATGAGGAAATCTAATGTAAATGTATTGCGCAGGTGTGCAGTTCAGAGAGGGCTCAAGAGCTACTCTTAGAGCCTCCGAGATCTACCGGTAGATTGCGATCTACTGGTTGGTGACCACGGGGGCTAGGCATTGGATTGATGCATGTTTATTGTAGCATAAATAGCATGTCAAGTTCTCAACACTTAAATCAGTATTTCTGGTCTTGATGACTTAAAACTCACAAGCTATGACATTCTCAAGTACAAGTCTGGTAAATCTGGTTTTTGATTTGGCAGCATGACAAAATTAGCAAAGACTGTTGAATTGAAATAAGAACATACCTACAAATATCCTGTGGTCATTCAAATGCAGATTTGGTACTTATTTATAGTACCAAAACGTTGTAAGAAGCATTTTATGTAAGAATGTCCAATATTTCCACTATAAGCTATCTTTATATAATATTTAAATAATACAGTTTGAGTATTAAATCCACTAAGAGATGAAGAGATGCATTGTATCTGAGCTCGAAGAATTTAATTTTTTATATTTTTCTAATATTTAAGCCTTTTTTTCTATTATCAATTTAAAATTTTACAACTGGGAAACTGTGTAGGGGTCAAACAATAATTAATGATAGTTGACATTGTGATATGAAAAGTGGAAGCTTTATAACCTTTACAACACAAGTTGTCAATATCACATATCAAAATATGCGAAGAACATATCCTTATATTAAACTTGGTTTTCAAACTGCATTTTTCTTACTTTGACCATTACATTTCCATTATTACTGATGAAAATCTGTTTTCTTCTGTTTGTGTGTGTTTAGTGAAATCAATGTTGACTGACATTTACCACTAAAAATCTAATTCTTCCAAGCCAATTATGTTTGAGGGTTTCAGGCAGAAAGTATTAGGTTATCTAGAAAGTTTCCAATTACACTTGAAGCCGAAGGAGAAAAACTCATAATTTACTCAGCCTTTATCAAGACATTTAAACATGACAGTTTCTGACTCTTCTTGACACTTTTTGACTCTTTTCCTTACTTATCAGAGCACATTCTAAATTTACTTTTCCCCAAATAACTTATATATTGTTGCTTCTTATTTTGTCTTGTATTTTTTTTTGCACAAGTAAACCTAGTCATTTTTGTTTTGTAATTCATGTTAATAATACGAGGTACTTGTTTTAAAGTATTATAATGAATCCATTCCCAAAGCCCAGTTTCTAGTTTGTACAGTTAAAAAAAATGAAACCTTGAAGTTAAAACTTTAGAACTGTTCCCATTGTTATTCTATAACTTCTGAACCCCTCTTGTAAACACAAAGGTGGGAAATTGCTGCTTCAGAGAGTATATCAAATCTTATAGCAGATTATAAACTTACTTTATTTTTCTTTGTAGGTGTTTGGAAAATTGACTCTTTTCAGAAGAGGCATTGCCCTCTCAGCAGTATCGTACCTAGGTTATGAAGCTTTCAACTTGATTTCTCACTCTGCTGTGGTTCATGCTAGTATCAAAGGTAAAGCTTTTATGAATTGAAATGTCCTGAAGTCATTCAAATGCAGAATTGACACGTGACAAAACTTTGTGAGAAACATTTTATGTAAGGCCTTCCAATATCTCCACTATAGGCTATCTTTATATATTTTAAAGTGTAGGCTTCCTTTGAACTAAATAAATAGTGAAGTTTTGATTCAGCTATCTGAACAATGTAGCTGGAGTGAATGTAGCTTAGATTGACTTATTGTGATGTTAACACTGTGCTGGATCAACACAAGAAACTTTAACTTACGCTTCTCATTTCAGTGGTGTACTGGAGTCAATGGGAGAGGGATCTGTGATCAATTAAGACCCACTAAATTGATCCCTGGTACATTAATTGCCACAGTATCAATTTGGAGTAAATGTAGACATATCCTTAGTGTCCTGTTTCAAAAATACTAATTTAACAAATTTTCTTTTTGTGGAATGATAAAGAATAACCAGACCAAGTGTAGCCAGACAGAACCCCCTCCCCCCCCGACATCCTTGGATTCTGTATGGCTACATTCCACCCCCTTGTTACGTCACACACTAAGTCCCAGAATGCAAGGTGATGGTGATGCCAGCACCTTTTGCCCTCTTTGGAGGAAGCTAAAACCGTCCCATCAGGGTAGCCTCATTAGGGGGTTCACAATCAAGGGATTGGGTAGGATCACTTTCTAGCGCATGTATCGGATCGTTGCTGAGGTTACAGCTGTGTCAATTAAGCGCTTCACAAGGCATAAGATCACACAAAAGGCAATTACAACAATCAAGATAGTAAACACGGTATTTACAATGGAGTGAATAAATGGCGTCAGTGAGAAATCTAGGTGTTGGGCTAGCCACTCTAGCCATGAGATTTTCCCATCCTTGCTCTTAATAGCAGATACGTCTTGTTCAATTTTTCCCGAGTTATTTACATAGAAGCAGCAAGACTGATTAATAACTGCACATACCCCTCCCTGTTGGGCTAGGATTGCGTCTAAGGCACTCTGTTTTGTAGGGCAAAACGGGCTACTGATTGGATTTGCTCATTGAGCAAGCCCAGGGCATCTTCAGCACTTCCTCTGTTTGCCCGGATACATTTACCAAAGCCTTCTCGAGCTCAGCTACTCCAAGCCAGGGAAGGAATGCACGCGCAAACTGATGGAAACCTGTGGGATGTTCTATAAGGGGATTAATGGAAAACCTTTGTGGTGACCAATGTAAGAAGTTCTCAAGGTTAGTGATACCTGGAGCCATGATATGGGGGTGCATAGTGAGTCCCCCGGGAACAGCATGTCCCAGTGAGCACCACCTTTTCCAGTTTATAGGCAGTTATTTGTAAGCTCTCTGCTCACAAATGAAAAACAATCCGTGCTCCTTTTCTAAAATAGGGGTATAGGGTCCCTTGTACCACTCTTTTCCCATGGGTCCTTTCTTCGGAGCATGGTGGGTAACACAATAACTATCATTGGTGGCTGTGCAGTGCAGTGCGAGTAATAAATCCTGTAAGACTTGGTCTGTGGGGAATAAGTTAGTCCCAATACACTGGTGTAGAAGCAGGGTACTATTGGTTACCAGTGTGGGGTTATAGATTTGTCCGATGCTGGGAATCATGAATAGTGAGTTGTTAAACCAAGTTTGCCCCTTAGGGTACTGGCTGAAATTCAGGGGAACAAGGGTGGATTCCCAACAAGTTAAGGGTTCCTGGTGGGGTGTGTTAATGTCCCAGGTTCCCGATTTCTTGTTAAAGACCACAGTGTAGGTACATTGTTTATCCTCCAGCCACCCTAGGTGGGCTCCAGTATCATTCACATTTGCAAAACAGATGGGGTACACTTCCCTAGAGGTCCCTACTACATACTCTAAACGTTGACCCCATACCGTAGGCTGCCAGCGTCCGTGCCACCCCCAAGACCTCCCCCCAGAGTCATTCTGAAGATCCTGGTGGTCGGGGTCACTGTCGTCGAACCAGGCTGGTCCCCACCTGATGTCGCTCTGTTCCACCAGCTGTTCAAGTTTAGAGGAACAAATTCAATCCCTAGTCTTGTAGAAGAGTTCAACAGTGTGCACATCCAGCAGTCTGAGGTGCCAGCAGCTGAGGCGGTGGTTTGGATGGCGTTCTGGAGAGGCTGCTGTGGCCACAAGGAACGTTACAACGAGTCCAAACATCATGCTGTCACTCGGATCGGGGTCTGTCACACAACCAAGTTTGATTCTAAAAGAAAGCAGAAAGTCAACCGGTCTTGGATACAATCCAAGCCTTAGTTATAGTTATTGGCATCCTTACAGCACTTGAGGTGATCCACATCCTGAGGCCCTACACGGCCTGGCATATGTGACAGCCAGGCCGGACTGGGCCATGCTTGCGCTGTGCGCCCCGGGGGCAGGCCTACACACCCTAGGGGGGCAGGCCCGTGCATGCGCTGTGCGCCCAGAGGCGCCAGAATGCCACACAACCAAGTTTTGTGACTAATGACAACGAGTATGAACGTTATCACCTTTGATTCTGAAAGAAAGCACAAGGTCAACTGGTCTTGGATACAATCCAAGCCTCGGTGATAGTTATTGGTATCCTTCCAGAACTTGAGGTGGTCCACACCCCCTTTCCTTTATAAGTTTGGAGAACGTGTGTCTGTGTTCCAAGGCTGGGGTGTTTAATTACAATGGTATCCCCAGGAGCATATTTGGAGTCCTTCAGTGGTGTATTTTGGGCTGGAGAGATTCTTCCTGTGGGAAAGAATCCTTTACTGATAGGGCTACCCATAGGGGTTTGCCGGTTGTTCAGCCGCTGAACTATGACGTCTAGTCTGTCTCCCCATGTACCGTCCGTGGGCTTAAAGTGGTGCTTTAGCAACTCATTCCATCTCTCAATTATGCCGTTGGACTGGGGTCGGTACGGGAGGTGAAAGGTCCACTGAACTCCGTTCTGGAGGGCCCACTCCTGAACTAGCTTATTCTTAAAATGTGAGCCATTATCTGATTGTATTTCTTGGGGTGTTGGGACAAGTGCTGTTAAGTGGTTTAGTCCCGTGAGGGTTGACAACCCCGTTGCCAATTGGGTCGGGTAGGCAAAGCCGATTCCCGAGACAACCTCCATTCCAGTCAAAATATACTTCCATCTCTGTCTGGTGAAGGTAATGTAATCAATTTGCCAGGTTGCCCATAGTGCTTGTCCCTCTCGTATTCTGGCAAACCGCTGTCCCTCGTTAATGTGCTTTCGGGTCTTAGCACAAAGAGCACCCCCTGATATGTGCCTGCCTCACCAGTTCCTCACTCCCTGTATGCCCCAAAGTCTCATGTAGCCATGTGTATAAGCATTCCCAATCCACCTGGGTGGCAGAGATCTGGGCTATCGCATCGGCTAAGTTATTTAATTGGGCAGCTGGAGCGTTGTTCCGTTGGTGGGCTGACACGTGACCTATGCTTAGGATCAGTTGGGTTGCATGGTGATAGATCCACTTCCAATATTCTAATCCCCAGACTGGTTTCCCTCCTATCATCCAGTGGTTATTTCTCCAATTAGTTATCCACTGGGTGGCTCCTGCCCATACAGCATAGGAGTCTGTGTAAATAGTGCTAGCACTTGCATCACAGGATAGTTTAATTGCTGCTAATTCCGTGACCTGGGTGGATCCCTCTATAGCAGTAGTCAGTGGAGTTATCAGCTGGGACTGCTGCAGCCCTTCCTTTCCACTTCCCCTTGATCAGTTTAACACTGCCATCTGTAAACCAAACTCCCTTAGGGCGAGATGGATCAAATGGAGCGGCGTCTCGGGTAGGAGATGGCTGTGGGGGTAGGTGATATTCGTCGGGCATTCCCACCTTCCACAGAGATTCTTTAATCATGGTGGGGTTTTGTGCGGTGTCTGCACCATCTACCCTGTGGTGTATGATAAACAATAAAGAATGATCAGACCAAGTGTAGCCAGACAGAACCCCGCCTCCCCTATGAAGGCCAGGCTTCATGAACTGGGCTTGTTTAGTTTGGAAAAAAGAAGATTAAGGGGGGACATGATAGCGGTTTTCAAATATCTAAAAGGGTGTCACAAGGAGGAAGGCGAAAATTTGTTCCTCTTGGTTTCTGAGGACAGGACAAGGAGTAATGGGCTTAAAGTGCAGCAGGGGAGGTTTAGATTGGACATTAGGAAAAAATTCCTAACTGTCAGGGTGGTCAAATATTGGAATAAATTGCCAAGGGAGGTGGTGGAATCTCCCTCTCTGGAGATATTTAAGAACAGGTTAGATAGACATCTGTCAGGGATGGTGTAGACGGAGCTTGATCCTGCCTTGAGGGCGGGGGGCTGGACTCGATGACCTCTCGAGGTCCCTTCCAGTCCTATTATTCTATGATTCTATCCCCCTCCTCCTGACATCCTTGGGAGAGAGAATCCTTGAGAGCGAAATTCTGTCTTCAAAGGCTCCAGGGCCTCCAGAGGTGCTGGAATAACAATAGCCCTGGCTGTTAGACAGGAACCAGATAAGAGCGGCAATTGGGCCAGCAGGCGATCAGGGCCTCAGGCTGCCTTTGGCTGGTACCAGTAATTGATACGCCTACACACACTGTCCCAGAAGAGGAATCTGCAGCCCCATCAGAAAGAATATCCGGCCCTAATGATTTAGTTACCTCCGCCTCACAGGTGCAAATTAAGCTTTGGACCCCCTGTGGGAATGGGCGTCACAAAGACGTTCCAACTTAATTGGCATTTTAATGACAAGAGAAGCATCTACGTGACCACAGGGGTATAAATTGGGGCGCTGTGCCCCACTCTAATTGGAGATCCACCCATATACCTGCTGGTCAGGCAGTCTTGGACCCCCGAGACTTTAGGGACACCTTTGTCTCGTATCGACTGCTTCCCATTGGGATTGAGAGAAACCCTGACTTCACCGAAGTAAGGATCACAGGGGTGAGAATATACCTGCTAGGTGTCTATTTTGTACACATTTCAATAAGAGCTCAGAGAACCAAAAGGGTTCCATGGTACCTTTAAGTGACTTTTATTGTATTTTTTCTGTCTTGTCTTTGTAGTGGCTGTGTTATCTGTAACACAGCAGTAACATTTAACAGCTAAGCTTGCCTTGTAACAATAAAATAGTAACTGTTTAAGCTTTAACCCAACTCCTCCTGTTCCTGTAACAGAACCAAATGCAATCAAAAAGAACCATAGCCGGTCAGGTGTAAATGCAGTAAGAGCTGAGCGTTGAGTCGTGCCGCCTCCACGGGGCAGACTCTTGGGGCGTCCGTCAGCCTCCCTGGCTGCCAACTGCGAAGGGACTCTGTCCTAGCAGTCAAAGACTCGGGTGTGATAAGGCTCACAGACCACTCATTACCCCAGCCACTGGCTAACACCAAGACCTATATCTTTAGATTTAAGAGCTAGGTATTTATTGTTGTTATTAGCATTGGGGGACTGACTGGAAATGTAGGCTGTGGCAAGCCTATTTAGGAATCACAAGGTAAACCTCCAAGTGCTCCGTGGTAAAAATATGAAAAACAAAAATTGGTCACACTCATGTTTTAAAAACCAGGTGGTTGTGCAACTTCTAATGGCTTTAGTCAACAAATTTGATAAAGTGGCAAGCTGGGCTGAAAAGTTCAGTTTTGGTTCATTTAATAAAATTTGCCATCATTTCATTCTCTGTGGCCTTGTGTGTAACAGTAGTACTTTGTGAAGTTGATGGATTTCCACTCCATAAGGCTGACTGCAGTGTTTTGCATGTTCAGAAGCTTCAGAGGGTACAGACTAACTTGCCTACCCCCTGAGGCTAGTAGTACTTTAGTTAGCTAAATTGTGGGGCCCTTATTTCTGGTTACCAGAACTCACAATATTTTCAAAAGCATTGTATCGCTGATGTATCCTGCCATCTTTGAATTTATGTGCTGTTGGTTTTAAACAAAATAATGATTTAAGACTGAAATAAGCCATTCTAACAACAAATCTTGCAACAAATTATGAAGAAAATACATGGAAGGATTCATTCAGTTTGCCTTATTGTTTTTCAGGGTATGTCTACACTACAAAGTTAGTTCCAACTAACAGACATTAGTTCGAACTAACTTTCATAGGAGCTACACTAGCGCTCTGTTAGTTTGAATTTAATTCGAACTAACGGAGCGCTTAGTTCGAACTAGGAAAACCTCATTTTACGAGGATTAAGCCTAGTTCGAACTAGCTAGTTCGAATTAAGGGGTGTGTAGCCCCTTAATTCGAACTAGTGGGAGGCTAGCCCTCCCCAGCTTTCCCTGGTGGCCACTCTGGCCAACACCAGGGAAACTCGTATGCCCCCCTCCCGGCCCCGGACCCCTTAAAGGGGCACGGGCTGGCTACGGTGCCCGTGCCAGATGCAAGCCT